TTTCAGCATGAGTATTGCTGTCATAAATGAACATAGAAACTGAGCATAATACAAGTAGTTCAAGCAGTTAGACTGAAATGTAATAATTTATCTTTTGAAAGATAATAGCATTTTTGGTTTTCATTACCATTAACTGATGCTTCAACCAGATTTTGTGTTCTCATTGCATTGTGAGATAACTGATGCAAAAGATGCTCTAGATTAAAATATACTATAATATATTCAAAGTTTATTTTACCTTTAAGTTGTTTTAATCTACAGCTGAATATTTTCTGAAGCCCTCAAAAACTGTTTACAATTTAGAATTAAATGTGCTTCCTGCTGCTAGTAGTGCTGCTGAGGCATGTTACCTAACAGACCTGTCACTTTTCTCGTGCAGTTGTTTCTGTGGCATTATTTTCATTGGCAAATATACGAGCTGATAGAAAAGGAAATCATTAGGTGTTCTCAGTATAGCTGAGGCATAGAACTAGAGCAGGTCAGTCACTGCATTTTGCAGATTGTGACATTTTAAATTACCTGTACACTACTGGAAGCAATCTGTGGACCTAATTAACATTTCACCTAATTAAAGTCAGGAATATATCTAGAGAATTCTAGGTAGTTTTGCACTGCCTTTATTTGTTAAATACCACATTATTCAAATTTGAGTCTCTTATTTCACTATTGAAAACTTCAGGTTTGTGTGCTATTTTCTTAAGTGGGAATAACTTTTTTTTTTCTCCTTCAAGTAATCAATGCACTGCTGAATGAGTTCATTTTAATGCACTCAATCATGCCTCTAATGTTTGTAGCTTACGGGCGCAAGCATCAGTAATGCAGGAATGTTATATGGCTTTAGTTTGGGCCATTTCATAAAATATTCATGGAATCAAAAATGTGCATCAAAATAGCGGCTGGGAGAATTACATTTATGTGCCTGCTTTTATGGCAGCTTCGCATTTAAACCCATTTGTGTTAATATCTAGTCAATCTTTCTACTTAAAAAAAAGGCAAAATAGTAGTCTCCATATATACCCCTTTTGATTTGGTATCTATTTTGATATAAGAAATCTGTATTTTTGGATTGGGTTTTGAGAAGGAGAATTATAAATGAATGTTTAGATTATCTAAAAACATTTATCTTCCATATTTACAAAATTGCATTGAATTATTTTGCTTAAATAATAGTTTTAATTTGAAACAATTCAGTGAAAACTGTAGCACAAATCTGTCAGAATGTCTTTTTATTCATATATAATTGTTTAAAACTGGTTTCTACTCCCAGAATTATATTGTGACAATGTTAGCCTCCCATATTTAAGATTAAGCTGTTGCTGATGGGATTTCCCTTGTTAAACCCTGAATTATATTAAACTATAAAAAATTATAAAAGTGTAAAATATTGGTAGTGGTAGTACATATGTTGTAAGAGTTACCATTCTAGTTTTTGATTCCTTTTATAAGAAGAGAAGAGAGACATCAGAGAATCTCCAACTCCATTTGGTATCCACTGAGATAAATGCTTCATGGCAGTGTGAAAATAAATATGCAAGTGCTATTAATGTTGCCAACTGAAAATAGCTTTACTGCTTTGTGTAACAGTCTCCAAATAGATTTTTCAAACATAGATTTCCTAGAAACACCTTCTTGATTTTCTCTTTGCATTCCTAGACCTATAAAAATACATTTCTGCATGCTGTTTCAAGTGATTTTCCTTCTTCATTGTTTTTTCTTCTCTTTTTGCTTTTCTTGGAATTGTTTTTTTTTCAGTTCATAATAAAAGTAATTTAAAACTCTGCCTTGTCACTGCCTGAGATAAAAATGCTGTTATTCTCATAAATGTTCTGCAATTGGCTAATTGCTTTCTTTTAATGTTTTTTTCAATATTTTCAGATGGCGTTCTATGTATGTCTGCAGCCAACACTTGCAGCAATTCAGTGTTTAAAAATTAGAATGCACTGGCCTGATCAGTTCCAGCTGAACTGACTCATGACAGGGACTAAACTCACCAGCCCCCTGAAAAATAGTTTTCCCACAATATTTGAGTTTCACAGAAGCATTATGGGTTAAATAAATAGGCTGATGTGTCATTTGCCAGTGGCAACAAAGGATTTAGGTTTATTTTCATGGAAGAATGAATTCCAAAGTCTAAAATGTTTTACCTTCCATGAATTAGAGAAGTCTCCAAATAGCTCTTTTTATTTGAAAGCATCTTCATTAAGCAAATTCCCAGCCATGTAAGGGATTTCATGTCAGGAATTCCATCTCTTCCTTGTTTAGGAAACGAGCAGGTATTTTGGCTTTCTGTGCATCACTTTCCTCTTAGTATTTCTGTGAGCAGATTATTTACATTTTACTGTGTAATCTTTCTTGCTAATTCAGTGAAGCCAAATGTAATATAGATCCATTTGTATATTACCAAAAAAATCATATTACTTTATTGTTTTGAAGCTTGGTGTAGACTGATTGTTTCCAAAGAGATTTCACTAAGATCTGGCATAAGTAGTGTTGTGTCGCAGCTCTTGGGGTAAGATCCTGAGAGCTATGGGGGTATGGAATGTATGAGTTCCATTTCTGGTCTCATAGAAACTTTCCCAAGGGGATACTGCAAGAGGGGGAGCTTGGGTAGGGCTTACCACTCCTGATGATTCTAACAACCTGAACAGGAGTCCTTGAGATTGCAAGTTTTATTTACCTAAAGAATGTGTACTGTGAAGTGATCATGTTACAGTGTCAAAAGAAACTCAGATACTGTTCAACTTCATGGTTATACCACCATGAAGCTGAACAGCAGTTTGTTTGCTGCTTCCCATTCTTACTGAAAGTTTTTGAGTAACACATGAATCAAATTCTAGTAAAGGATCCATTAAACATGTAGTTTATCCCAATGACTCAAAAGTATGATAATACCCTTTCAAAAGAACAATCTATTTATTAATGAACTTCGGGGAGAATTCCAAGGAAGATAGTATGAGCTTATGAGAAACCAAATGAACAAAGTGCTTGCTCTATCAATATTAAATTTTAACTCTACTTTAAATCATTTGTCACAAACCCAACGTGATTTTCTTCAATATCTTAAATCTGCCTTTAGCAACTTTAGGTAGCTGGAATTCTGTGCCCTAAGAAGTTAGCTGAACTGGATAGACAAAAATCAAATTGGATGCCTCTTGAGAATAGACAAGGGTTTTCATCTACATGTCTATTTTCTGTTACATCTACTGTCAGGGACTCTGTAAACAGCTTGTACTGATTGTGATAATTTGCCTGTCTATTTGTGCAGTCTGATGTTAAGCGTGTGATATTTTGGAAAGAACGTATACAACTTTTCCTGTTTTCCCAGTGTTTTGGGTCATCTCTCCAATACCCGTCCATAGGTGGAATGGAACTGAATAAAATCTGCTGACTTCCCTTTCACCTGGCACTGCATTCTTCAGCACCTGTTTTCTCCTCTGGGATTCTTACATTAATTTTAGGCTGTTGAGCCATAAAATTATTTGTCTATTACACTCATTTAATTAAATTGCATCTTTGAAAGAGGAGTTTCTTGTGCTTGTCAGTTTCAGTTGAACTCGGTTTAATCATCAGAGAAACTTAATTTGAAAATAAATTTAATTCTAATAATGATGAGTTATATTACATATTGCAAAGTTGAAAGCATGGTTATAAAGGGGTAACATGCAAAAGACAAATATAAATTGAGTTAATAAGAGAAATCTGTCATAGCTGTTCTGCTGCCTCTAGGTTGGCTAGAGGCCTGGGGAGATAACCTCATTTTCTCAAGGAATGCTTAAAGAAGATCCTTCTCCAAGCTTTTCTCCTTTCCTTTCCTATGACTGGAAAACAACTTTTCTCCTTCCTGGTTCTTTTTGCAGTTTGAATTCAGCACTGTATAAAAAGACTGCAAAACAGCAATATCACATCTCAGAAGAGGTGCAAACTGCAAACATATAAATGAACCTATTGTATGTTTTTTTTTCAGATGTTAATAGAAATACGGTTGATATATTGATGATCTATGGAACAAGATTCCTCCATCACACACAAACATATGAAGGCATGGTCACACTCACCATTCTCCCTCCTACAGGATAGTCTTTGCTGAACAAGATATTGTTACCAGAATGCTTTCTTTAAAATTAATTTTACTGTAAATAATTTTATCTTACCTGCTTCCCAGCAATACCCATTATGTATGAGGAAAAGCTTTTCTGTTCTTTCCAAGAGCTTTGAATTTTATTGTCCAGCAGATATGGAAATCTCCTAGGTTGAATTTTATGCACACACTTAAATCCAGCTGAAGGTAGAGAAAAAACTACTTGAATGTGAAAATTAATTGAATTTCATCTTCAAACTTTCCTCTGCCTTAAAGATGTTTGAGTAACTTACATTTGAAGATCTTGGAGTATATTACTTCAGGCTCAATAATTAATCTATCAATGGTTAATGCTCTTACTAGATAAACTCACCAGAGTTGGCCTTGCAATAACTGTTGAATAAATTACTTTGCATGCTAATACTTTTTTTCATTGATTAATTTGTTTAAATGAAGGTTTTTTGTTTTTCCCCACAGTTCTGATACCTTTATCCCCCCACACTTCAAATCTTTCACCACAGGTTTTCATTATCGAAAAAGAAACTTGAGGAATTATTTCAGTTGTGATTATTTATGCATAGATGTGATTTTGATATATGAGAACCACAAAGGCTTTATGAATCTAGAATAAATTTATTTTCTAGAAGATCCTAACTTTGCATCCATGGACTCACACCCCTTTAACATTGGAAATTTACAAAGGAAAGCTAATTAAAAATATTATAAATTTAAATAAGAGCATTACTGGGTACTGTGAAATTTGCTTGTATTTTCCAGCTATCTTTGGGTTATGTATTGAAGAGTCTTGAAAAATCTGTGGAATGTGTGGCTAACTTACTTATAATGATAAAATTATTATAGACTACAAACTTTAACAATTTTTGGTGATGCACTGATTTTAATTAGGAATTACATTTTTCAGGTCATGTTACGAAAGCTGCTGAGTATTTTGAAGCATTTTATCAGCTAACAGAGGGCTCATCTTGGAAGGACGAAACAGGCCACACTTACACTTCACTGGCATGTCAGCATCTCTGGAGAATTTATACATTGCTAGCAGACAAAATGCTGGAAAATCAAGAACACCAAGAGGCCATCAAAATGCTACTAAAAGCTTTAAAGATGGCAAAAGAAGGTAGGTGGAAAACAATGTTTTCCCATTCCTTCTTTCAGTGATTTTGATTGTGGGCCATGATCTTCCCAAATGTAAAGTAGAAAATGTCAAGGGTTTGAATAGATGATTATTTCCTATGAAACTCAAAGACAAATGCTATAAATTTCACTATGTTATCAATAACGCTTGCAGATCTCGCTGAAGTAGAAATACCTTCTTGCTGACTACAAAGAAACTTTTAGGTTCCTTAAAGCTTTATCTTGAAAAAAAAACCTGACAACCTTGTGGGAACAATAATACAGAACTGTAAACCCATGATCAGTAAATGAACTCACTGATGGAAGCTGAGGTCATTGATTTTGATTGGCTAGTCACTACTGATTTGTGAGTTTTTAACTGATATTATCTGCTGGAAAAGTTACCTTTTCACTCTACATAGTCACTTTATACTTTAAAAAAAATAGGTTTTTATCATAAGCACACAAAATTTTCTACCTAAATATACATAAATACTTTTAAACCTAAAGTAAAAAATTATAGAATCGCAGAACAGCAGAGGTGGGAAGAGAAACCTCTGGAACTCATAAGGTTGTCCTGAGCAGGCTGCTCAGGCTACATCCAGTCAGGTTTCAGTATTTCCACAGGCAGAGCCACCATAATCACTCTGGAAAGATTTACCACTGTTCAAACATTCTCACAATGAAGAAGGTTTTTGTTTAAATACATATTAATTCAATGTTTATCAGCAGATACATTCGGGTTTTTTTTAATTTAATAATGTATGTCAAACATTTAATCTGTGACCCAGTCTTTTACTAGTAGTTGGAATAGATAAACTGTCAAAAATGGCAAAAAATGAAAATATTTTCCAAATTTAAAAGTAAGTTCTGTGACAAATAACATTGTGACTGTATAGGTCATAATACCAGCTTGTAGTGTTTTCTACAGCTATTGTTTGTAATATATACTTAAATTACAGCTACAGTTAAACTCCTCTTAATATTAGGTGTAGTAACTAGAAGGACTGCTACGAAATTACATATGAATGTCTTCTTAATGCCAGTGAAAATTGCTGGATATTAAATGATTGGCAAAATGGATCTTACATCTTTCCAAAACTTACCTTGACCAGGCAGGTGTTCTGGTTCCCTTTTTTTCAAACTTCAAATCAATCACTTTCACAGCTTCCTGAGGCATGTAGCACATATTGCTATGCACAAAATAGAAGCTGTTGTTCTCTTTAAATTTAAGCTTTAGGAACTTCTTTCTGAGGAGTTCTCTAGTCCTCATTCCAGAGCCATACTGGCTACTGGATGTTATCTGTAATGTCCATTCTGTCCTTCTGGACCATCATCTGTGTTTATGCACTTTAGGAATTAGGATTAGCTATTACCTGCTTCGGATGTCAAGCCCTCTTAAGCAAGGAAGAATGTTCTCTTTGTCCCTAGCGACTTTTAATTTACTATTCTTCTGTGAAACTGTATTTCTGTATCCTTTTGTCTTACTATGCCTTTTAATGGATATTGAATATTAGAAAAGACCATCAGGTTTTTGAGTTACAGGCTTTTAATAATTGTGAGTAACATATTAAGCGCTATAGATGCCACTATATGTCATTGCTATGGCCTCACCAATTATCTTTCAGAGAGTTTCAGAACTAGGTGTAGACTTCTGTGTGTTTGGACAGAAAATTCTACAACTGTAAGCAGACAATCTCCCTTTTCGTTGCTACTGTATTTATTTATGCATTTTGCAAAATACCTTGATATACATTTTTCTTCAGGTTGATTTTTTGCTATTTATTGTGTTGGAGCAGATGGATATTGAGCAACAGAAAAATTGGATTTTTGGCTATTTTTAATATAATTTCATCTACAGGGTTTTTTAGAGCTGCTCATGTTCTGGGAGGAAATTTTTAAATATAATGTGATACTTTAAGGACTACATAATTAGTTTATGTTTATTTTGGTATCAAATAGATTATTTTCTCTTGAAGGAGCCATGCAAAAGAACCAGCAAGCAGTGTTGTTAGACTAGTATCAGTGAAATAAAATCTGGCATGGAAAGTGGGATGCACCTTAGCAACAGCCTGTCCAGAATTTTCTTTAAGTACTGCTTGCAAGTATAAGTTATCCATTTTTTTTTAGCTTTTTAACCCTACAGTAGCTAGTAAAACAGACAGGAAAATAAGAAAGCTGAAAGTGGTCAATTGGTGGTTCTCTCTGGTGTTTCACCAAGATTCACATTAGCAAAATGTGAGATACATTTTGTGTTTATAGATTAAGGTTTGTTACCTATTTCTACCCACTTCTATTTTATATTGAGTATATATAGAGAGACTTGTATTATTTTCTAAAGTGAAGACACATAGTGAAGACACTATGATTAAACAATGTCAGAGAACCTTACACATGTTACTTTGATTGTACTTTATTACTGGAAGATATTTTCTGACTTTGCTGAACTTCCTTGGTGAACTCCACAGACTTTATTTTTAATTACTACTGTATGTTTTCAGAAAGAGCTACATGGTGGGGGTAAGGAAAGGGAAAAATTTACTACAGTGTTTTAACATCTGTATCTTATTTAAGAACCTGAAAGAGCTGTCTGTACCAATGTCATTTTGTTCAGATCCTGCTGGTAACTCTACCTTTTACCCTTCCTTTAGGAGGTGATATAAAGATGCACGGAGAAGCGGCCTATTGCTTAAGTCTAGCATATCATTTTTCTGGAGAGCATGAGACAGCATTAGCAGTAAGTTTATTCTTTGATTTAGCGTTCTCAATGTCTTCCTCTGCCTCCTCAGCATGTTTGGTATTTGCAGAATACAAAAATCTTGGAGCAATGTCTTCCTCTGCCTCCTCAGCATGTTTGGCATTTGCAGAATACAAAAATCTTGGAGAGGCTTGGCTCATGGACATTTCATAACTTTATCTAGTTCTATAGGCAGGGATCCATGTGGCTCAAGAATTTGTAGTTCCAATAGATTCCAGAACTGATTGAGTCCAGGTTTTCATGCTTGGATCTGTAGAAATAGTATAAATTGACCATTCAGGTTATATGTGAATAGCCTTGCTTTTCTTGTATATATGTGAATATCAAACAGTCTCTATTTATTTAGGTTTTTAAAACACCAGTTTTGCAAATTAGTTTGGTACAGTGTATTTGTGAGAAACAATGAAAAATATATCAGTTCACACACTCATATTGTTAAAATATCGGTAATTTAGAAGAAATATGAATTGCTTTTGAAAAGCTGTAATGCTGATGCAATTCCTGATGTGGATAGTTGAGTTCAAACTCCTCTTCTGATGTTTCCCTTGAGCCTTAATAATTCTAATACTGTGAGAGCTCTGCATGTGTAATTCTAGTCTAGAAGGAGGGGTTTCCCTGCTTCCTCATAGGTCAGTGTGAGAGGAAAGATTAGCAGCAACTTGATTCTTTTGTGCCAGTCATCAGTCACAGTCCTCCATGATCCTCTTAGAAATGTTCTGTGGAAAATAAATTTGAATATTTTGTTCATGATTATTGCAATTGATTTCTCTTTCTGTTTATTCTTGTAACTGCAGAATGACTCAGTATTCTATTAATGAACTTATTTTATAGAGGGCATTCATTGTGGGTATTTGTTGTGATGGTTTTTGTTTTGTTTTGTTTTTCTCAGAAACAGACCAGTAGAAGCCCCAGAATGAATTCAGCATGTGTATCAAAATTACTTGCTTGGCTCTTGCAGTGTAGGAGGTGTTCTAGATTTCTGTCAGATTTCATTTTTGTTACGACTTTTTAGAAGTTACTGATCACCTTTATACATTATTATTCAATGCTGAAAGTCCTATCTTCTGCATAAATCAATTGAATGCTGGAAAGGGGGGAGCCTGTTCTCAGTGAATTGCAGTTAAACCTGTAGCTGAATGTAAAAATATTTCAAAACTAAAAAGCTCCAAATAATTTTATAAAATTCTATCTAATAGTTACAACAGCAATGAGAATATGATATTTGATCTTTTACAAGAAGTCAGTGTGATAGATTAGACCAGAATTTTTTATACTTCAGTTTATCTGCAATTGTTTTTTGCCTGACAAATATGCTGGCATTCTTACCTGAGCAACTTTTCTCAGACTTTCAGAAACTTAATTTAACTTCTCATTTCACATAATATACTGTGTGAATTCTGAAGAACAGCAAGATAAACAAGTGTGCTAAATGAAGAAGCCTGCATCTTAATTTCTCAAGAATATACAAAGGATCAAACTACCCTTGAAAATGTCAAAAATATTATTTGTCCTGGCATTGTTTCCTCAGAATCAATTTTGATTACATTTTGTAGCTATTCCCTTCCCTTCATTGCTCCTCTGTGTCTCTTGTCAAAAACTTACAGTAGTCATTTGGAAGTTTCATTTATTTTTGTTGCATGCAGATTTTTTTTTTAAGGAAGCTTCTGAAACCCTGATTTTTTTTATGTACTGCTACTCATTTTAAATATGTAACCAATAGGTAGTACCTAATTTTTTCAGTCCTACAAAACCACCTCACAGTTAAGGAAAGCAATATGCAAGGCACAAAGGTCTCTGTAATAGAAAAACAAGTTATATATTATGTTAAAAGTATAAAATGTTACTTTAACAGTAATGGAAATACCAATACTTTTCAGTGGTAATAATACAGTGTCATTTTCTAATATAATGGCATTGCCAATAATATTACATGAAAAGCTTTTAAAGTACTTTTGTTCAAAAAATACACTGTGTTCTCTGGGATGAAGAAAAAGGGGTACAGTTTTAGCTCCTTTTGTCCTTTGCAGTGGTCGATATAGACAGCAGTAAAATATCCGTGGTTGATAGTACTGTTGAGCAGAAGTTGTCTTCACTCTCCAGTTGGAAATCATTGCCTAAAATTTCCCCTTCTGTTCTCAGTTTAATGGTCTCTGTATCCAAGGGGAGCTCAGATGCTTACAGAGATGAAATCATTGCCTCCTGTTCCCAGGGGCCCACTGGTTATCATTACACATAACATGCAGACAATACTGCTAGGAGCCAGTTTGCCTCATGGTAATATGTAGTTCATCACCAGCTTCTGTAGCATGCTAAAGAGGTCTTGCCACACAGCTTGGGACTATTCAGATGTAGACTCGGGGGTCTCAGCAGTTATTTCCCTGCTTTGCATCAGTTTTCATCTTCTTTATCCCTTTGTGCCATGGTCCACCTCAGGCAGTCTCCTTCTAGGGGAATCTGAAAGGAGCAGCTGTTACAGGCACCATTTCCTCCAATTGTTGCCACTTGGTTCCTTTTGCTCTTTAGCCTCCCTCCCCCAACATGCACACACAGGATCATGCATATCTCTTTCATTCATGTCTTCTAGCAGGGCAGAGAAGCATATGTTCAAAATAGTCATTATCTGATGCAGTAATTAAAGACTGAAATGATTAAGCTGCAGCCTATTCTATAAAAAAATGCAGTCATTTTGTGTCAAATGGGCTGGTTTTGTTAGAGAATGTTTTTTATTTGCTAGGAACTTGGTGTTTAACATTATTTGTTTTGGTGTATTATCTGTATAAGTAAGTTTGGTTTGATATATATGATTGATTTCAGTGGAACTACTCAGATGTAAAAATATAAGTGTGTTAAAGTTTTAAATCCTGAGAACTAATTACATTCAATAACACTGGGGTATGTTCATAATATTTTTCATATCGTCTGGTTTCTGATTTTATAATCAAGCCTAATGGTTTTACAACAAAATATTAATAGTTTGCATTATATGGATTTCATATTAAACCTTATAGATTTTGTCATGGAGAGTTCTTCATCTAAGCTAATTTTAAAGTAAAAGTTACTGTTTACTTGTTTTGTCCTCAGACTCATTATGAAAGCAGAATATTAAGTGAAATATTTCTGTGTCATTAGAAATCTTACATAAGGTATTACAATCTAATGCTTGATGTGGAATTTTTTCTTCTCTTAGACTGGGCTTTCAAGAATTCTTCGAAGTATAGTGTATAGTGGATTTTTCTCTTTCAATTACAGTTTCATCCCAAATCATTAGGAAAAATCCAGTCCCAACCTCCTGTTAGAGTTTTTCCTAAGTGTTCCTTTATTTTGGACATTGAATCCTGTGCTTCAGATATGTTACACATTTAAATAATAGAGGCAGTGTTCATGAGTACTGAGACTCATGCCAAACTAAATGTGGTAATTTATGACATAATGCTGTCTGCATGAACTGTCAGAATTACAATACACAAGCCACAGGCATAAAATTATCAAGAAAATTTATGAACTTGCAGACATCTCCACATTCAAAATGACCCTGTTACAGCAATCAGAGGTGATTAATGGCCATAAACTTAATTTCTGAAAAAGTCTCTGTCAAAACAACCAGGAATTTTGTCTCCTCTCATGCAGCTGGGAGAATATGAGTGAGGTACAGATATTCTGAATTTAGTATGTACAGTATATTTTATCTGATTACAGTATTTATATCTCATTATATGTATTGTGCCCATATGGATGGATGGATGAGTGGATTTGGTAAATCAAGGAGGATCTTAGCAAGTAAAAGAATTCCAAAAGGTAGAGTGAATGTTATTCTCTTTTCTTGCAAATATTGAGTAAGGTTGTTGAGAAGAATGAGCATATGAAGTTAGAAGGCTGAACTTCAAGTCAGTGGTGTCTGAATAGGCCACTGAGTTTGAGTTTAAGCTTTCATTATTGTTACCCCCCCAAAAAACCCTCTCAAATGGGGACTCACAATACACATCCAAAGATTCTCTTCAATGGAAATTATTTCAAACTTCCTTCAGTAATGTGGATTTTTATCAAGATAAATGGGCCACAAGAACATCCTCTGTAAGAAAACACTCTTAAATGCAGTCCTGCTGCAGAATGACAAAAATTATAGAGCAGAAGAAACAAAAAATATTAAATACATTAAAAAATCTATTACCTGATTATAAGAAAAATAAAAATTCCATGTTTTCCCACAGTAACAATTAATGTTCTAGCAACTTGTTGATATTTACCCTACTCTTCAGGAGTCCCATGTCCCATAAGAACAGCTACCAAAATACCATGAATGGCTGGATTTCCATCTCATGCATTACAGTTTTCAGTTTATTCATTCTCACACCCCAGAAGAGTAGGACTAGAGTTGAAAGTTTGAGTGCTCAGTCCATTAGATAAATCTTTTTGGAATGTTAGAATTATCTGCCCAGTGGTGTTCTAAAGAATCTGAATAAAAGTTGGTGACAAAAAGTTTAAAACCTCAGTTTTAAATAGGGCTATGCCTGGATGACATTGTTTTGTTTACTTCTACTTCTGAAATGTATGGAAGTTTCTTCATTTATATATACTTACAAGATTGTGTAGCCTTACTTTAAAATATATATATTAAACATCCTGCATTTAGAAGCTATTTAACACACCAAATGTGGTTTCCCAAACTTCAAAATCTATTTTTGGTACTATTTTGACTCTACTTCAAAATGATAAATGGTAATATTTAATAATTAGTTATTTATTATTTTATTATTGCCTTATACACATGCAGGCACTTAGACACACTTTCTGTATGAGTATGGAAAAGAGCTGGAGGGGTGTGCAGTGCAGCACTAGTTAAAGTATATTTACATTGTAAAAGAGATTCTAAGATCAAGAGAATTGTTCATATAACTCTGAATTATTTCGGAGAAATTGTTCCTAACTGTTATGCTTGAACTCAAAAGAAGCAAACTGCACTTACTGGGGGTTTGCTCAGC